TTGGTTAGGTATGTTTCATCTGAATTGCCAACGGACGCTACCATTTTTGTGGGTGAAGTAAAGTTTCTTGTTCACAAGGTATGTTGTTCTTTGTATGCCAATGGATTTGTTAAAATGGATTATACCAAGGCCAATGTAACTTGAACGTACTAGTCAGTTTCTTGATTTATCTAGAAGTTCGAACGTTTTAGTAGGGTTCTAATGAACTCTAAACTGCAGTTAGTTAACGCTTCATGATGTCTTGTTATACTTTTAGGAGTCTTTGCAAGATTATCACTTCTTTATAATGCATTTCAATAGCCTAATCAAGTTACCTTAGAAGTTTGAGTTTCTTTTGTGTACAGTTTCCTCTGTTGTCCAAGAGCAATTGCTTGCAGAAACTAGTATCGAAAGCCAATGAGGAGAATTCCGAAGAAATTCATCTGATTGATTTTCCTGGTGGACCTAAGGCATTTGAAATCTGCGCTAAGTTTTGCTATGGAATGACTGTTACTCTCAATGCCTATAATGTAGTGGCTGCTCGTTGTGCGGCCGAATTCCTCGAAATGACAGAGGACATCGAAAGAGGAAATCTTGTATTCAAGATTGAGGTGTTCCTAAACTCTAGCATCTTCCGTAGTTGGAAGGACTCCATCATTGTGCTCCAAACAGCCAATTCTCTTCTTCCATGGTCTGAAGATCTGAAGATTGTAGGGAGATGTATCGACTCTATTGCCTCAAAAACTTCTGTGGACCCTGCAAATATCACATGGTCTTACACATACAACAGGAAATTATTAGAGGCCCATAAAATTGTAGAAGATGGAATGAAGTACCAAAAGAAAATCGACTGTGTACCGAACGATTGGTGGGTTGAAGATGTTTGTGAGCTAGAGATTGATCTGTATAGACGTGTTATGATCGCCGTGAAATCAAAGGGCAGAATGGATGGTTCTGTCATTGGGGAGGCACTGAAAACTTATGCTGTTAGATGGTTACCAGACACTGTAGATGCCTTGGCCTCTGATGCCCATATTAAGAGGAACAAATCTCTCATTGAAACAATCATTTGCTTATTGCCATCCGACAGAAACATAGGCTGCTCTTGCAGTTTCTTGCTCAAACTCATGAAAGTTGCCATTTTGGTTGGAGCCGATGATGCATTGAGAGAGGATTTGGTGAAGAGAATTAGCTTGAAGCTGCATGAAGCTTCAGTCAAAGATTTATTGATTCTTGCACAATCTCCTCAAGTAACAAAATATGATGTTGATTTGGTTCATAGGATTGTGAATCAGTATTTTGCTCATCAGAAGTTCAACCGAGATGCGGACGGTATCGAGAGGAGCGAGAAAGGGGCTGAAAATCTTTTACTGGGGCGTGGATCCTCATTGAATGTTGCTAAATTGATTGATGAGTATATTGCTGAAATTGCAGATGACCCAAATCTCTCGCTCGCTGGTTTCATTGACTTGTCACGGTCGATTCCTGAATTTGCAAGGCCAATACATGATAGATTATATAAAGCGGTCGACATTTATCTTAAGGTACGCAATATAGAGTTTTCATGACCATTTATTTTGTTGTATAAGTAGTTTAAATGACACCATTTTGAAGTCTATTTGCTTCGAAATCACGAAGATACAATAACCACCTTCGATTTCATTGAAGTATGATTACCAATCTTGACTGTCTTGCTGTTTCTCATCTGATCAGGTTCTTTAGTAAGCTTGGAAAGTTTGGCCACTGGTTAAACTTTCTTTGATGGTTAAGAACCTTGTCTTTTTTAACTTTAGGATTTTTGTGAGTTTGGATGTCGTCCACTGTATACAAGTTGAGACCGTTGATATTTGGTCTCGAATGCTTTAGATTAGTACGAAGAATTGGACATAAAAACAAAAAAGTGCTGTTGTTTGATATTGAATTAACTGTCATGTAATGAATGTTCTCACGAGTGAACTTCATTGTTGTGAGATCACACATTGGTTGGAGAGTACAATGAAACATTTCTTATAAGAGTATGGAAACCTCTCCTTAGTAGGCACGTTTTAAAATCTTGAGGGGAAGCTTAGAAGGAAAAGCCCAAAGAAGGCTTGAACTGTTACAAATGGTATTAGAGCCAGATATCGGGTAGTGTGCCAGCGAGGACGCACGACCGTCAAAGGGGGTGGATTGTGAGATCCTACGTTGGTTGGAGAGGGGAACAAAAACATTTCTTACAAGTGAGTGGAAATCTCTCCCCAGTAGATGTGTTTTAAAACCTTAGGAGAATCAGGAGGAAAAGTTCAATATCGGTTAGCGGTAGGCTTAAACTGTTATAGTTGTAGACAAAAAGAAATCACTATATTTGAACGTAGCGACATGCTTTGATTATTTCCAGGTACACCCAAGTTTGACAAAATCTGAGAAGAGAAAGATTTGTAGTCTGATCGACGTCAAGAAACTTACAACAGAGGCATCGATGCATGCAGCGCAGAATGATCGGCTCCCGCTTAGAGTTGTAGTTCAGGTGCTCTTCTTTGAACAGGTTAGAGCCTCAGCTGTGGTCGAAGCGCAACACAACTCCCGGGACTCTTCAAGTGTAATGACAAGCATAGACGAAGAATGCCCGAAGGAACTGGATAGCTTCAAGTCCCTAAAACACAATATGGGGCACATGAAGATAAGCGAGGACATTCAGAAAACTAAAAAGTTAGCTAAGAAGAACAGCAAGAACAGTAGAAGTGGTATGCAACTGTTGCCTTCAAGGTCAAGAAGAATATTCGATAAGCTATGGATCATAGGTAAAGGGCACGGTGAAAGTCGCAGTCCCGACACGTCGGGGAGCTCTCAGAGCCCAACTTCAGTGGTTCCTGGGCACATGATTAAGTCTTCTGGTTCATATTCAAGACAGAGGAGGCACTCGATCTCTTAGATTATGATATGGATAAACAACAAGCTGTAGCAGCCAAAATGTAGAAAGTGGTAGGTTGTTATATTGTAATGATATTCTCGAATCAATTTAGTTCCTCGAACAAAATGGAAAACTCCTTAAACATTTTACTCGCGCATCATATGAAAATCTATGTTCATCAATGATTTATCATATCATTGTGGAAGGTCGTGATTCTTAAAATAAGATTGTGAAAGAACAAAATTGAAACCAATGTAACCGAGTTTTTTGCGGACGGCTTTGACGCTCCTCAAAAGGATTCTCTCTTCATCCGATATGATCTCTCACCCTCGAAATCAAGATTTTGGTCCAACTACAAGAAAGAAGAATGGTTTTTTTGTATTTAGAATCAGATTTAGATATTCATAACAGTGGACAAATGGATAGGGATGGAAAACATAATACTCTCTTTATATTTGTTTATCCAACGGGAAGAAATATCTAGTTGCTCCCTTTTCGATACTTTCGATGGACTAATTGTCTAAAGTTTGGAGTTTCCCTTATCCCAACGGGTCTTGCAAGAAAATAGGATAGGATTTCATATTGAGCTCCAAATATACGCTATTGGGATAGGATGGCTCCTACTAGCTCTCCCCTCGTAAGAACTGCACGTGCGAGTTACCCCGCATGAGAGGTATGCAGAGAGAATCCTGACTTTTCTTTCTCTTGCCTTTTTCGACATAATTCGGGACTATCGGTTCTCTCTCTCTACCTCTTATTTTTGACTTCACAAGCTTTCTGAAATTACAAATTAATATGGTTAGGTGAGCAACCGGGCCTCCCATCATTTGAAGATTCCGCCGAGACTTTACTTGGTCTTTCGTATATTAGATATAGAATCTAACCATTTCGCAGGTTAGGACCGGTTCGCATCCCCCCGACTCAACATCAAAGTGGTGGAGTCTCCACTCTATGTTGAAAGCTCTGGACCAACTCGTTCACGTTCATCTAATTTACACTAAATCTCAGACTGCGACCTAATTTCTTCCCGAAATTCATTCAATTCATTAACCACCAAAGTCACCTAAATTTAATTATAAACTAATTTTGACATTTCCAAATGAAAGTAAATAATAAAATCAAACTTCGTTTATATGGACATCGACTTATCCCCACTTTATGGATAGGTTTCGAAATAAAAATTATATATTTTCTAATTTAAAAGAAAAATCTTAAATTTCCAAACTCCAACCAATTATTTTTTTTTTAAAATAATAAAACTTTTCTAAATAGACTAAATTTATAATTTAACAAATTAAATAATTAACAATAATTTTCTCTTTTTTTTAATATTTGCCACGTGGCCTCTAGTTGGATAGGGTTATTTTCCAACTAGAAAGTGGATTCTTGAAAAAGATGCAAACTTTTCTTAAAGCTCCATTTTAGTTGGAGCTTGCATTGACTTAGATGGTCGCCCACTATTCTAATAAGATTCCGTTCTACGATATGTTTCACATATATCCGTTGAATAAATTTTGGATATATCTACTTTCAACTTAGGAATCTAAACTTTTAGTTGCGTTCGTGTTTGTGTTCTAACTACGCGTGACACAAACGCAATACATTAAATGTAAAAATACGAAGATTGTAAAAGTACGAAAATTCAATATACAACTTGTTTGAAGTTTCATACATATTTGTTTCTTTTGTTTTGAGCTTGACATTAAATTGTTTGAATTATCAACAACTTTGTAGAAGAATTGTTGTGACTTTGTAAAAGAACTCGTCCGAGTAATCAAACTTAGGAAAAAGACTTGTGTTCTAGAAAAATTAGATATTTTAATAAACCCTAAAACCATTTCCGTGTATATCTTTCAAACAATTAATTAGGTTGTTTACTTTTGATTAGGATGTTAGAGGTTAGAAATGAATTTCATCAAATAGATTCAAACCCGATATAATAGAAAATGAAATACAAAATGGAATATAAACAAAAAAAAAAAAAGAAAAAAACAAAATTAAGACTACAAATCTAATAATCGAATTCTACCTAAAATAAGTCGATGAGAGTGCAAAGGGGATTGATTTCGCTCATAGATGATCGGAAGTTATTGCACTCTCAGAATTCAAGTTCGTGTTAAAGAGGGGAGAATTAATAAACCTATTCTTATTGAAACAAAATATATACTCCAAGAGAAAAGCTAGAAGAACAAATCAATCATCGCCAGACTTCTTTCTCGACCATGTTTCCAGTGATGGCGGTGACAAGGGCTTTAGTAAAATTGGGGTCTCGGGTTAATAGGGAAGCCATTTGTTGACATACCATTCGTTGGGTTGAAGTTGAAGGTCTTTCAAATTCTGGAATTGGAGATTTCAGAGTGTCGATCGATTGAGACTTGGTTAAATCGAAGGTTGTAATAGATGGTAGTGATGGAGACATGACCGACGATGAAGGTGATGAAACAGAGGAATCTAGCTTTGAACCCAAGTGAATTGGTCCAACCAATTGATACTCAATTCCCGAATTTGGTTTCTTGTGATTGTGTTCTCCCTCGTAGGTAGCCACTAAATAGGATGAGTCTTGAACACTTCTTTGCACCTATAATAAACATCATTGTAAAACGATTTGATTTTTATAAAGTTCAATAACATAAGAGGATGAGAATAGTACTAGCATAGCTTGGTAGATACAACACTCCTTTTCATTCTAGAAGTAATGAATTTTGCTAGAAATTTTGAATGTCTAATTTCTTCCGCTGAAAATTTTGAATATTTAACTCTTCAGAAGTAATGAACTATGCTGAAAATTTTGAATATCTACCTTCTTCGAAAGTAAGGAACTATGCTGAAAATTTTGAATATCTAACTTCTTCCGGAAGTAATGAATTATGCTGAAAATTATGAATATTTTACTTCTTCGAAAGTAATGGATTATGTTTAGGTTGATAATTTTGATACTTTAAGAGACAATAGATTATGATTTTTCTTATACAAAAGAAGTCTAAGATAGTATTGAATATGACATAGAACAAGTAGGATTGAAAATTAAACATAGAAGAAAAGATTGAAAGCTAGAAATAGACAGAAGAAACTTCGAGGAAATTACCTTCTTTTTCACCGGACAGCTTGGGGCAAAGGAGCATTTATAGTAAGCTCTAGGGGACGGATTGCCTTTAGTGACCTTTTGACCGTATTTCCTCCATTGATATCCATCCTTCACAGCCTACAATTATTGTAAACAATTTAGGAATACTGTTTTTCTCGAAGCTAAAATCAGGCGTGAATTGTGGCGTCAATTTCTTACGAATCAACCAAACTTTTACTGGACACTACAACTATAATCACGAGATTTTGATTCCAAATCTTCTGACAAAATCAAGGAACGAACTACTGATTCCGATTTCAGTTCCGCAACAAATCTAAAAGAATCGTAACAGAAAGCACGAACGCGGAAATTACTCGAATCGCAAAACGAAATATCTTCACGTACCAGGCTTGAATCAGAAATCGGCGTCTGAACCAAAACTCTCTTAATCTTCGGCCTACTGCTTTCTCTAGGTCTTTTATGACACGAATCATCGTCGCTACCGCAACAGCAATACTGATCAGTAAGAGCATCCGCGCCAGAAGAACCGCTCCGATTGAAGAAATTGCAATTATCGCACCCTGCCTTTCGCTTCCTCGATTTAATCATCAAATCGACCACCTGATTTCGCAGAACACTGTAGTTCTCAACGACGACGCCTAGCATCTGATTCAACTTCTGATTCTCCGAACTAATCCGGTTTAATTTCTCGACAATAACTCCCGGAGCCTGCAAGATGAATAACTGAAAATTAAGTTTGTTGTAGAACTCGGAAAAGTAAAACTAAGGTTTAAATCGTACACCGACCTCTTCTTTGGTTGGAGTAACTGAGATATTGGCCGGAGATCCGTCGTCGGTGTACGGCGGAGGATTGAAATTGAGGCCGAGAGAAGTATTAATGGCTGGTGAAGGTTCCATTGTAGAAGAAGGAATAATTTGAAATGTAGAGGAATTGGCAAACCAGGAAACAAGTTTCTTGAACTGAAAGAAAAACAGACCGCGAAACTCTATTTATAAGGAAATCAGATTTTGGAAATTCTGTGAAAAAGAATTACAAATACAAACCAAAATTTTTCTTTTTATTTAAATTATTTCAATTATGATCTCATCTATTCATACGTCACCAACTTCTTGTTTCAAAATAATAATAATAATAATAAAATAAATAATAATATAAATATATATATATACACACAGAACATTTATCTTAAAAATATCTCTAAAGTTTTAAAAATACTTCTAAATTTAATTTTTTTTATTAATTACTTCAAAAATAGTTTAAAACAGTAATATGAAAATTTAAAAGTAGCATTAATACATTTTCAAAAAAAAAAAGTTTAAATTTTTCCGTTCACTGGCATTTCATAGATTATCTCTGTTGAAGATTATTGAGAGTATTTAGACAGACATTTCATAGATTATCTCTGTTGAAGATTATTCAGGGTGAGTCCCACATTAAATTAAATTAGTGGAAGATCATGGGTTTATAAGTGAGGAATACTATCTCCATTGGTATGAGACAGAATCTTAAACCAAATAAATAATATCATACTATTGTTGAATAATAATTTTTAAATTAATCTATTAAAATGTATAATCTTAAAAATAAATGAAAATATTATGACATAAATTTATCAAAAAAAAACTGATGTCAAAACGATGACGTATTTGGCATTTATCAATTTAGAGCAAGAAGTTCTTGGTGATTACCATGACTTCGCTCAAACGGTCGGATAAGTTCGTTGTGAAATTAAATATGCAGCCAATAGAATCTTGACAACTGTCTCTCCTTGAAATAATATCAAAATCAAGTCGTACTTAAATTAAAAGAAAAAAATAAAGGAAAATAAAGAAATTGGAAAGGAAATTGGGAAATATATGAGGGGTAAAACTGTAATTTAATAATTCTTAAATTAAAAAAATATGATACGTTGTGTCGTTAAATTATTATGAAATCTATATAATATCGGGTAGTTGGTGGATAAATGGTCACTCCTCATATATTATATGTAAAATTCTCGAGAAAACTTGCGATTTGATAAGTTGATATTATTTCTGTTTGTGAGGCAGCGGGAAAACTTGTGATGGAGGTGAGTGGCAGCGACAACGAGGCATCCCGACTTAGTCATCATTCAAATTTTCCTAAACTTGAACTTCAAAAATAACAAAAATATATATATATTTTTTATTTGGTAATTAATTAATACGACCAAAAACTTAGTCATAGTTATTAGGATTATCCATATGGTACGTGTTCTCCACAAGTTTATCATTAAATATTATAATAAAGTAGTTCGAATAAACTTACGTGACACTAAAGAAAATTAACGTAGTCAAATATTAACAGACTAAAAAAAAAATTATTTAAAAAATGATATATTGTTATTTAATTTTTAAAAATTATTGAAATTAATTTTTAATTTTTTTTAATTATATGGAGTAAATTTAAATTTTGGTCTAATACTTTTCATACAGTACAATGACTTCAGCGCATGACCCAGAAAATAATGAAAATAAAGATTTTCAAACACAAATTATAGAAAAAATTTAAAATATTTATTATGTCAAAAATTAGAATTTTGACGTCAGAATGATGATTTCAATTGTATGTATAATAACTATCTTTATATATTTGGATAAAATCCATTCCTATATTTAAAACTTCAATTTTCTAAAAGAATATTTCAACCTTTTCAATAATTGCACTTTTATTTAAAAAAAAAAAAACAATTATTATATGAACTTTCAAAGAGAAGAATATCAAAGAATTTTATCTCCGATTCCATTTTTATAATTTGATAAAACTTTTAAAGAAATTATAAATTTGATTTCTATAATTTTTAGAAAATTAAAATTTAATCCGATAATTACGAAACTTAAAGACTAAATTAAAATTTTTTTTTTAAAATTATAAGGACTATGATTTTAAAAACTATATTTTATTCAAAATACGAGAATAAAATTAAACTTAATCGTTCAAAAATTATAGGGGGTAAAACGGTAATTAAACGTTGTTTTTTAAGAATATATATATTTCAAGTCTTGAAAGAAATTTCCTTGAAATTTCTGAGATGAAATAAATTTATTTAAATTTAAATTTTATGTTATTATCCACTTGTATAAATGCTATTGGCTTACGCGAAAAGATTGGGCTTGAATTTCTCAGAAATTTTCATAAAAACGCGTTGATTTAATCGACTTGACTAAAAGTCAAGTCTTACTGACCCGTCTTGAGAAAAAAATGCTTTTTTTTTAAAAAAAATAATTTTATTGCTTCTAAAAGATGGTTCCAAATGGATTAAAAGAAAAATTCAATATTTAAAAAAAATTATACGAAAATAAATCATTATCATCATATCATGTATAGAGAGAAATTACAAAATATTATGTTTTTTTAAAGTTATTTTATGAATATGATTGAAAATAACTTTTGGGAGATCGAACATTCAATCATCGACAAGTTGGGTGGAGTTACTTTCAAGTACGGAATAATTAGGGGAACTTAGTTAACCAACGAGACTTCCTTATCATAGTTAGTGGATGTCTCTATTGAGGCCGAGGAACCATATAGATTGAACACAGGATCCCTTAGACTGATCGTGAGGATTCGAGTCCAAGGATTTGAGAAACTTTCATTCGATTTCACCCAAGAGTTATTTCTCCCTGCTTTCATTCTATTGTTTAAAAATGCATACCATATTATGCTATTTATGGGCAGAGGATGTTGGGTTGTGCAGCAAAGAAATGTCATACAATAGAATTGGATCGAGTGCGTTGGGTGTGCGACATGAACCTTATTGAGCACGGGGTTGGGTGTACAATATGAACCTTATTGAGCACGGCATATAGCAGTGCTGCCTCTTATCCATGGGCTTACCCATGGATAGTGGGTGGTGCGGTAGTAGAGCATGCACAATGCAACCAGGTCAAGTGCCTTTTGTGTTCAACATGATCCTTGTGAGAGCGTCCAAACATGCAACGTGAGAACGTGAGATGGGGTCAGATGCCAATGGTATCACTAACACTTAGGCATGCTCAAAGATGGCGTCCAAACATGCACCATACAGAGAGGCCAATTAGTGACTTGAGCAACCTAAATAGAGTTCAGAACTCAATCCAATCCAACACAGCTCGACTTTTACAATTTACATCACTAGTATCAATTATAAAAGTCAAATATTCTCGACCTAAGTTCATAAACGTGTAAGAAAGAAGAACAATGAATAATTAAAAAAAAAAAAAAGACTAAGAAAAAGAAAAGAAAAAGACTTTAAAAGAGTGATATCAGCAAATGAAGCATAGCCTGACATCACCATCTAATTATTCCACGTTTTTAGGGACAAACCTAAAACAAAGACCAAGAAATTAATTGTCCTCAAATAAAACAAAACCCAACTCCAAGTTTTGTTTCACAACTTTCGGGCTACCCTCCCACCTTGTAGTCAACCCAAGACATCTTACCAGCTCATAGCAGCAAAAGTCGAATGAATCGGCCAAACAAAGAAGTCCTATTTCTTCTCTAAAGACAAGAAATCTAACCGTTTCAATAAAATCAACATCTTTTAAAGGAATTGCTCTACCTTAATCACATCCAGAACCCGCTTTACCTTCTTCACCTACCATAAAAACAAAAGTTCTTTCACGATAGACTCTCCCAGCTACCAAACATCTTTCTATCGATCAAGAGAGGTATAGATCCAAACCAACCCATGCAGTAAGTTAAACATAAATTTAAAAGTTCAAAACATTAGTCGTTTTTTAAGATAAATTTATAATATAACATAAATTAAAAGGGTCGTTTGCAATTCCTAAATAAATTTTGTGGATAGGATAGGATAGAATAGGATGTGACATACAAATTTCCATGTTTATTACGTGGAAATATGGAAACATATATAGGCTTATCCAAATGAAATGCTTTTGAATTCAACTCAAAACTCATATTAACACAAACAACTCAACTTTAATCAGTGATACCAACCAAACAAGTATTTATTTTTAATTTTAAGGAAGACCATAATAAAATATTATTCTAAAGCTTTCAAAAACTAAAATAAAAAAAAAAAATGCGATGGATAAACATTATTGTAGCAGTAGGAATATAATCTGAAATTTGCATTATTATATTTTAGTTAGTCAATTAGGAAGCAATGTTAGTGAAGTTTCCAAACAATGATAAAAAAATAATTCCTCCACCAGTTTCTGAACATGTTTCCAAGTTTCCGACTAAATTTATTCTCTCACAACCCAACTAAAAAATACTCCTATTTCGAGGACAATAGCTAAAGTCTCAAACTACTCTCATTTTCCAAGCCTTTCTATTTTTTTTTATTCTCCCATTCTATTCTTTACTCTTTATTTTAGAAATCTTTTTCTACACTAAAATGTGGTAGTTGGTGGGCGGGCATGTGACACCGAGAAGTACATATATTTACTGAGACCATAGTCGAATAATCAAATGAGAACAATCCTAAGAGTAAAATAACTTAAATAAGGGCTACTTGTACCAACAATTCCTTTTCGATGACTCAAGTAAGAACTCTGAAGTTAAACGTGCTAAATTCAATTACAATTAAGTAATTGAGCACATACAAATTTACTAAAAAAAGAGAAATAAGTACAAAATTACACACACTAACAATCAAATTACTTACAGCCACAAGACATTCTGGAGCCTGGAAAGCATATGGGCTCACACTCCTCTTTGGTACCTGAGAGGAATAAATAGAAGCCTTCATAGAAGAATTAGAATATTCTTAATAGAAGAATTAAAATACTCAAACGGTGAGATCCCATATTGGTTGGAGAGGAACGAAGGATTACTTAAAAAAGTGTAGAAACCTCTCATTCGTAAAGGTGTTTTAAAATCTTGAAAAGAAACCCAAAAAGAACCATATTGGCTAGCGATGAACTTAGTACTGTTACAAATAATATCAATTGAAGAGGCATAAAGGTGTGCAAACATCTCCCTAGTAGTAGAAGTAGAGGTGTCTTAAAAAACCTTGAGGAAAAATCCAAACATCGGTTAGCAAGGGACTTTGGCACATTTTGGCTATACATCTTTCCTCCTGCAAAAATATATCAAGTCTCCGTCCACACTCACTTCCATTCCGAATTGCCTTTAACTTGCCTCGACATTTCCAAGGTGAAAGGTTCCGTACAAAAGCCCACTAAATGGTAAATTAGACGAGCATTAGGCCTCAGAAAGAGGAGACTTTTGACTGAAAGGAAAGGGCAAAAGAACCTGCTGCTATTATATATAGTTATTCAATCATAAAATTATTTAGGGAAGATTGGAGGAATTGGAAGGGCCTTGAAGTACTCAAGAGGGTAGTGTGATAGAAGTGTCGTCATGCAGCTAGACTAGTGGTATATGCAAAAAGGAACAAAGATTGACATGGATTAATTCTATAAAATGGTAAACAATTTGCTGAAGATTCTTAAATACTGCTGAACTCGTCATGAATGTCAAAATATCCAAGTTTTTCAAGAATAACAAGAATGGAACCATGAACGCAAGGGAGGATTTTTTTTCTCCTTTTTAATAGGAAAAAAAAAGTTCAATTCCAGCAAGGTGAACAAAAACTAGTAAAGTTTCAAATGAAGCAAGCAATTTATAAAGATAATATCATATCCTTGCATGCATGATGCAAAATATTTGTTACCTTCCATCGTACAATCTTCAAACAAAAAATATCTACATCATAATGCCATTATTTCTGTAAGAAACAAATCAAATCACACCAAATAACAACGAAGACATGCAAGCATCCATCCCACAACAAAAGGAACCAACAAAAACATAAAAGAATTAGAAAAAACACACAAAATTTATTTGCCAACTCAACTAACTAGCAAGTAAAAAGCTTGGATTACCACTAGCAGCGTTAATCCTGACCATTCTTAAAAGTTCAAAATCAATATTTCTCTCTTCCACATGAAATTTAAACTTTGTAGGGTTCGGTAAAATTATTAATAAGATCTAGCTAGAAAAGGTCTAAAAGCACAATAGGATTTAAATTCTCATATAGAGGTATGTAGTAAATTACCTTTATTCAATATCCTAATTATAAAAATCATTGTAAAAGAGCTAAAGACTGATTGATGTTTAAAGAGTAAGAATGCATTAAATCATATCCCTTGTGTAATATTTTTTTCCCCAGTGTCCAACCAACAATTATTACTCAAATGAGAAAATTGAAATTATAGCACAAAAACGTCACCTCCATCTACACACAGTACACTTCGGAAAATAATGAAAATTCTTGAGCTTAAAGGTAAAAAATTGTATGAAACCTGTCACGCAAACAGCATACTCAATTGTATGAATAAACGCACCACTATTAGAAAAAGATAACAAGAACAATATTTAGACCAATTTGCTTCTCAATTTTAAAATTTTTAACCCTATAAATGTTAGTAAGATAATAACCTGCAACCAAATTGTAACAAAAGTGATTCAGCAAGTAAATTTCTGCAATTGCTAAGCCACGGAAAGGGGTAAATGATTACTACACGATGAATTCAGAAATTTGAGCTAGTAAATTAAAACGTTACGCAGCTTGATTTGCAAACTATTGTGTTGGGGCAATTAATTGCATTAAACCAATCTACTTTAGTGCTGCGTGCAGAGGTCTAAAACCACCCAAGCTGAAACGAATAGGATTTTCTACAAATATAAAATGAACCAAGACAGTATAAACAATAGGCTTGCTATATTTACAAAGCATGATATTACAAGCGGAAATTACGTTAGAAATTCTCTTTAACGCTTCTGAACCCTCCATTTGTACACTAATAACAACGACATTCTATTGCTAGGTAACATAGGGCCTGTCAAACAACCTCAACAAACTATTTGATATGAACCTCCCACCAATCGTACTCAGAGAAAATTTCAGGAAAAGAAAACAGACTCCGTAGTCAAGAATTCCATTCAAAGCATGCGCACAAAAATAAATTAGTGCATCAAATGACAAAGGCCATGAACACACATCAAAAACTAAGAGGAGAAACAAAAACTAATTGCGCGAGAGAGAAGAAGAAAGAGAAGGAGATACCGATAGGAAGAGGACCAGCCTATCTAGCTTGAGAGAGGTCCCGTTGTACGGTAAATTCATGACTGTGCCAACGATTCCGGTCAGTTAGCACCATTAAAAAGCCACGCTCTAGAGAACTGCAAATACGATTCATCAGATGAAAGTAACATATAATTCTGAGTCCGATAACATTGCGCTACAGAATATGAAGAATTTCGATCCATCGTTCGAATCTGACAGAGAGAGTAGTGAGCACGCAAAAGCCTTAGCATACACTTTATACCAAGTGCCTCTGGGTGCTCACTCTCTTCTGTCAAATTCCAAGACCAAGCCACAATGAATCGAAGATAAAAACACTATCAAGAACGATAAACAAATAATTTTCAGTGAAGAATCTTTCACATGTGTAACGAAGACAAAAAAAAAAAAAAAGACAGAGAAACCGCATAGAGAGACGAGATAAAGATCCAACAGCACGAAGAAGACGAAGGCGAGCCAGATCCAGAGTATCAAAAACAACAAAGCCGCTCAAAATTCAAATCAACAACACACCATTTCATGGAGGAACAGACATTTTCTGAAGGTACTGAAAATTATTTAGGGTTTTTGGATTGTGTATGAAATAAATAAGCGGTTAAAAGAAACAAAAAACAAAACTCGATTCTCTCTCCTCCATGCAGGACGTCGGTTACAGTGCCGACAACACGTAATCAAAAGCTTCTGAAAGACAAATCAAACAGTGCCGTGATGACGGTGACCGTCGCAACGCTCCACAAAGTAAATAATCCACAAGAACGACGAAGATCGATACGAACAGACGAACAAAAAGAAACAATATAGCAAACAGAAGAACAAAGAAAAAAAAAAAAAAAATTGATCGATCCAATCCGATCTCCACTCGCGGGTTTTCTTTATTGCGGAAGAAAGACACGATGGATCGATATCTTTCAGTACGCAACACAAAAAAAAATATATATATATTAAAAAATAAAAAAGGAAAAAAAGAAGGAGCAATCGTGTACTTTGCTCACACTGAAACTGTGTAATACATGACGGTGTTTTGCGTACGTGTCAGGTGATGATTGCGTGGAGATCATTTATCAAGGGCACGTGTAGGAGGAGTACGGAGGACTGCGCCTCGTAATAAATCCTGACCGTACATTTATAGTGAGGGTAAACTCCCACCGTAGGATCATTAGCACAAGGGTGGGACCACCAGAACGGGCATAATTGGAGTCGGTAAAATTACCATTTTAACTCTCTAAATATAATTTGTATTTATTTAATCTCTCAAAAAAAATAATTAAATAAACAAAAAAACTCTAAAATATATTTATAAAAAAAATTATTATTATGGTAATTATATGATTATGTAATGCATGATGTATGTATGGTATGGTACGTGGATATTAATATTAAAATGGACGATAAATGGGTCAACTTTACAGCATGAATATATTGGGCACCTGGGACCACTTTTTAATAAAATATAATTATTGCTATTTCACTAACTATGGAAAATACAATAAAGTTTTTAATACTATTTTAATATGCGCCAAACTTTATAATAACTGTTACATTGACATATTTGGTGACCACTACACCATAACCCCTATGCACCCCCTACGTTTAAAGCCTCTTGTTTGGCTGAAAGGGACTTTTATTTTATTTATTATTATTTTTTTTAAAATTAAGTTTTAAAATTTTAAAAATATAAAATTCGGGTTGTTTTACGACCCAGCTAACCCAAAACTAGAGTTAACAACACAACCTTAACCGGTCGCTAATTTTTTAAATTATTATGAAAATTAAAAATATTTAATTTGTATAGTCAGATAATTATTAAAAATATTTGATATTTATAGTCAATGTGCGTAATGGGTTTGACTCGTAAATGTTTAATATTTAATATTTATAAAATTTTAATTATTATAACAGTAATGTCTACCATTTTTTTCTGTATGTGAGGAGCTCAGTCCCAACAGAGTGTCTTCTACTTTTATGAACTATATCATAATCGTTTTCAACGAGTCCATGAAAAGTTATCCTTTTTTTTTTCCATCGGGTCTGGATAGAGACCAAAGGTTTTGAACGACCGATCTGGCAGAACAACTCAAAAGATACAGAAGTATCGTTAATTTCTTCATGCTCGTTCCAAGTTCGAAGTACCGCATATAATAATAGCAATTCAACCCAACCCAGTTTGAACGGGTTGATTTACGTTACGTCATGAACTTTATTCGAGTTGTTTAGATCATTAATCCAATCATCTTGAAATTTTGTGTTCGTTTATAATTTTTTCCCGTCCAACACAACTGAGTATACGTCAAATAATAATAATAATAAATTAGGATTTAATGGAAAAAAAAATAGGAGATTTTATGGGAAGGTGAGACCACGCTATAAAAGGTCCCTTTTTATTTATTTATTTATTTATTGGTATTAAATAAAAAAGGCTAATTTTTGTAGGGAAAAGCTCTAAGCTTAGGGTTTCAATGGCTGTGGACCACTCTCTATATCTCTTGTAGCCATCCATTGCTCTGTAATTGCAACCACCTTTCTTCAAATGAGCCATGGTTTAGAATCAACGTGTCGATTTGGTTTGGCCGACTTGCTTTAAATGGGATGAAAAATCTCCATTTAAGCCGAGCAGATTAGAGGAGGGAGCAAGCGGGATTTATCTTCATTAGCTGAACCTAGAAGAAAAAACGAGGATTATATTCTCGCCCTCAACCCCTCCGCCCCGTTAAATCCTCGTTCCGTTCACTTTGTATATAAACTATATTGTTATATTGAAATTTGAGTTTTTAGAAATTAGGTTCAAGACGCTGTATTATATTTTTGCTTATAAAATATTATTGAGTTTATAAGGTCTTTATGAATCTCGGTTTCAGTCTGCACGAATGAGGATTGAAATAGGAGACAAGGATGAAGGCGAGAACGGTATCCTCGTTCTTGCCTCACTCTATGCCCATCTCTAATTTAGAAGCTTTTACGGGTTTAGATCGCCTAATAATTTATTATTTTAAAAAGAATATAATAAGTATATATATAAGTTTGCATCATTTATAAATATTAAATGAACCATTATAAACGCCATAAAACTATTTCAAACGTACACTCTTTTCAATAAAAAAAAAAAAAAAAAAAAAGTACACGTTAGCTTATTTAATTAGCGTGTAATTATTAAACCAAACTCATCATAACTTGATCAAGCAAATGGTATCATATCAATATAAAAACGAGAGATCATAGAATCTAATTGCATTGCACAGTAGTTACGTGATAACATTAGGCACGTTAAAATGTCAATAATGAGAATGATATATTATATTTTATAAAACCTATAAATCTTTTTACATTTACAACAAAAAATGTCGATAATATACCATAAAATTTAGTGTGGACCACAAGTGAGACGTTGCCAACCAACTCCAAGTTGTTACGACAACGACGACTCCTAGTGCTTGATATGGTTCCTCTTGTGCTATTCTGGTTCCTAAACAATCACAACCACCTCATTCGAAAAAGAAAAATTATTGATGAAAATCTCGCATCAAATTAAATTATTATTTCGTCTACCGGTATAGATACATACATACATATACATACATATATATAGAGAGAGAGAGAGAGAGGAAAGAACATTTCACGAGGAGGTTTTAATTTGAGTGAAACAAAACAAAAACAAAACAAAGACAGTACGTTGAGCTCAGAATTCAGAGCAGCAGCAGCTGCAGAAACATAAACAGCTGAAGAAGGCCACAAGAGGACGATGGAAGTGGGGACTGATGCACAATAATAATGCCACAAACGGTAAAACAAACAAATTCAACCCCTTGAATTCAGTGAAGTACCCCACTTTCCAAAAACTGCAAATTCAAAGATTCACTACCTAGAGGACTTTTTCCGAGATCAAACCGGATCACCTCGCCTTCTTGTTATCCAAAATCGGGCGAGAGATGAATAGGATCTCAAATAACAAGAGATATGTAAAAAAACAGGTCCGTACGTCTATTCTTAATCCTAAATGGAATGTAAGGACGTAAGAATCCATATGTAAACATAGTATCTCTATTTAAATAGGCTCAGATGACCCCTTCTCGTAATTAGAATGTAACCCTTGCCCTAACTGGGTTCTCTTTCGACAACCCTTTTGATATGATAGGCCTAATCACCTTCCTCCTATCCCTTATGTTTAGGAGCGGGATTAAAAAAAGAACGAACAGAAGCCTATGATAATCCATAATCCATGAACAAAGAAGAAAGTAATGCAAAGTTTGATGGGGGCTATACACACCTAAACTTACGAGCCAAATGACTCCATAAGATTAAGCTTTCCAAAACCAATAATCAGAACATAGCAGCAGATGTTGGGTTAACAACAATTACTCTGAAAAATCACCGAGGGAGTTAAAAAAAAAAGAAGGCCTAAAAAGGGCCTTTGTTCTCAATCTGTGGCCTTTCTCCTCCTCTTCTCTAATAAGCCAAGCCAATCTTTTGTGTTCAGAGAAAGCCTAGTAGTAGTACACATTATCTAACACTTCAACATCCTCTCTTCTACTATTACCTTTACCTTTTACCTTACCTTACCTCCCTCCCACAGATGACATGAATTGAGGCAAACAACTACAGAGGCAACTAGCTAGCATACTCCTATAATCGCGCCTAATCTAACCTAACGACTAAGAATATATGACAGACAATCTGGAAAATATGCCAATGAGATAACAAGATCCAGAGCAAGCTTCCCAAAGAACTCATTCTAGAATTTGCAAATATGCAGTGCTGAACCAAGGCAAGAATAGACAACTCCGAGCTTTTCTGGAATAGGTGGTGTAGTGATTAACCTTTTGACTCTCTTCTTCGTTTCTTGCCTGACTTGGATTCACTGCCTTGATCGTTGGATGAATTTAGCGACTTCCCCTTCGAGTTCTCTGTTGCTTTTCCGGAAGCGGGCGAGTTCTTCAAATCCCCGCTTTCTTTTGATTTTGAAGATGTGAACTTGACCTTGCTGGAGAGATTGGAGTTATTTGATTTGTCGCCTGTTTTGGGTGATTTTCCCTTTGAAATTGCAGGAGTTTTGGGAGTTTCTTGTTTGGACTTCCCTGTCTTCAATACATCTTGCTTGGACTTCGCAGAAGCCGCTGCAGCAGGTGTGGACGTCTCGTCATCCTTCAATTTACCAGTCTTGTGTGATTCAGCATCGTCGTTCCTCGACTTGCCAGCAATTTTCGGACCTGCGCTACCCGCCTTGCTACCAGTTTTAGGAGTGGTTTGATCTTTGGATTTGCTAGCTGTAGAACCCGGAGGTCTTCCAACCCGAGGGGTATTCTCTTTCGACTTGCCCTCAACTTTGCTGCCACTACTCCGATCAGTTTTTGTAGTTGCACCCTTGGATTTGCTTGAGGAAGTTACTCCACCCCTAGAATTGAGTCGTAACGATTAAAAATCAAGAACCATTATTGAGAGAGCGAACAGTTGTGAAATGAACTAACTTTTTGGGCGAACCGTCCATCTTTCCTCGTGTCGCAGACTTATTGGCGTTTATTTTTGCCTTTTTCTTTTGAGGTCTGTAACAACAATCAAAAGAATCCAACATAAACCAATAACAAATGCCAACAACCAACAATATCATGATCATATATTGACAAAATTCAGTAAAAACAGTAGCACGAGTACGAGCATCATAGCTTCTCTGAAGATAGAAAGAATCAAGTGCTGAATTGATTATAAAGATATTTCCACGATATAAATCTAAACCATCAGAGATTAAGAACTTATCTAAGTTAATATAAGATGAAAGAAACTAGTTAACATTGAAAGCCATACAGGATAAAAGGGAATGCCTCTCACAACTGGTATTCTTACAACCTTCCCAACTAAAACAATTTGGCATGGCGCTCGTGAAAGGG